TGCAGCCTTGGTAAGCATGAGACACTTTCAAAAACATTAAAAGATCTTATACAGCTCAAACTTTTGTACAGTATATTTACATTATCAAAACCAAGACACAATGTCAAATTACATGCATCTCTTTTTTTCAAACATTTTTACATTGCTTAAAAAATGTGGTTATTATTGCACTGGCAGGGTAATAAGCCAAACACAATAATGTGGAGGCACTGCTTCCATTACCCTCCTCACATACATGGAACTGAATTTTAATGAAAACACAATAAACTTTGTCCCTCTGAAACTTTATTTACTTGATGTTGCTGTTTGACAGTTTTACTTAAAAACAACAAATTCTATGTGTGTGTATTTAACATAATTCTATCTCATATTACATATATATTACTTTGTTACACTTTTGTATAGTTGATTATAATTCAGATTTTTGTTGGGGGCACTGCCTCTCTTACCTGCTTGGAAAAAAAGCCCCTGACATATACCATACACTGGTAGAGATAACCTATTCATTCTGCAACATTTCTGGAGGGCTGGAAGATTCGAGATACAGTGGTGGGTGGTGAATGTATGTGTGTGAGAGAGAGACAGAACTGAGTGGAAAAATAAATCGAAAGAGAGACAGTGTGGGTGGGACAGACAGAAGGGATGGAGGAGGGATGTTACCGCAAAATATCTCCTTTTCATCTGGCATACTCAGACCAAACACACACAGACGCTGCCTTTCCTCTGGTTATAGAGGCTGAATATAAAACAGACAAGAGTCTGTGCTTTGTCCCAGGTGTGTGTCTGTCTGTCTGTCTGTCTGTCTCTGCTTGGTCTGTTGAGCCCCAAACAAACACACACACACACACTGAGACTGAAAGTGCATACACACAAACATGCACTAATGAATGTGCGAAGGAACTCAAAATAACATTTTAGCTAAAAATAAAAGCTTATGAAGCCCAGCCATCTCTCACCTAAAAGAGGACTATCATACAGCAAAAACTGAATTTTTAAAGGGTTAGTTCACCCAAAAATTAAAATTAGCTTGTGTTTTATTTACCCTCGAAGCATCCTAGGTGTATATGACTTTCTTCTTTCAGACGAATCCAGTCGGAGTTATATAAAAAATTGTCCTGGCTATTCCAAGCTCTATCATTGTAGTCAGCGGGTGTTGCAGTTGAACAGCCCACAAGTCGTCAAATAAAGCACGCGCATTCATAATAAAACTTGCCGCAGACGGCTCCGGGGGATGAATAAAGCCCCCCTGTAGCGAATCCATGAAATCCATTTTTGTAAGAAAAATATTAATATTTCAAACGTAATAAACACTTTTTTTCTCAAGATAGAGCTTGGAATAGCCAGGACAATTTTTTATATAACTCCGTCTGGATTCGACTGAAAGAAGAAAGTCATATACACCTAGGATGCTTCGAGGGTAAGTAAAACACAAGCTAATTTAAATTTTTGGGTGAACTAACCCTTTAATCACTGAATTTGAAAAACATTATTACGTTCTTATTCTTAGTCTAAATACATCTGTACATATTATTTACAAAATCATTCCAAATTTAAAACAACTACTTTTTTAAATATAAGAACATTTACAATTACATAATTTTATCAGAAATTAAGAAATTTCAGAAAGACCAATAATATTAATAATAAAATTAATAAGAAAGTAAGTGAGTAAACCATTTAATTCACTATTTTTATATAAAATAGCTCAAATAAATAAAACAAACTAATGGTAATTTTATATGTTTTATATGCCTGTTTTAACTTTTAACATGATTACATTTTGGAATTTTCCAAACAGATTTTTAAAGGGGTCGTATGATGTTGCTAAAAAGAACATTATTTTGTGTATTTGGTGTAATGAAATGTGTTTACGTGGTTTAAGGTTCAAAAAACACATTATTTTCCACATACTGTACATTATTGTTTCTCCTCTATGCCCCGCCTTTCTGAAACGCGTCGATTTTTAAAAAGCTCATCGGTCTGAAAAGCGAGGTGTGCTGTGATTAGCCAGCTATCCAGTGTGTTGTGATTGGCCGAATACCTCAAGCGTGTGACGGAAATGTTACGCCCCTTACCATATTGTGACGCCCTGTCCAGCCGGAGTGACGAGACAAAAACATTAAAACCCATTATAAACGAGGCATTTGTTGCATCCAGTGGGGACATAATTACGGATTATAATGACTT